TTAGTGGTTTGTGCTAAAACTGGTCACGTTCGATTAGCATGAAAACATATCCCAGAGAACGGACAAACTCGATACACATGTGTTATTAACCCCATGTTCATTTTTGTCAAAATTGTCCTTTAAGTTAGTAAGTGTGTAATTATATTTACTATTATATTTAACTCCACTACTGATAAATCATACAGTTTGAATCAAGGATCTCCATAAACTGGTTGACAACCCAGACTCAGGTTTTGATTGCTCCTGTCTTTATATTTACTAAAGAAGTTTCTGTGATTGTGGTGTACCACAGGGTTTGATCCTGGGTCCTGTTCATTTCTACTTTGGTAAATGCATTTTAAACACAGTATAGATTTCCATTGTTTTGCTGACAATGATGTATTCCATAAGTTTACATGATTATTATTATATTGAAATTGTTTATAATTGATTCCACCTTTTATTGTTTCTCTACAATGAGTTTGCACATCACACTGCTGTGAAATGAAAGAGACCTGAATTTGAGCCTGGAGGCCTTAATGTTCGAGTAAGTAGCTTTAAGGAGCTTTCAACCAAGTGTAAAGAGAAAGACTGGAGTGGTTTCTGATAACACATTAAATAACTATGGGGAACACTATATTGTGAAACAGCAAGAACCCTGAACAAGAGACCGAATGAACAACAGAAACAGACAACATCAGCTGTCTGAGAACTCCAAAATCAGTCACAGCATTGACTGGGAAGGAGTCAAAGTCACCGACGACAAGTCATCCACCATCTTAACAAAGACAAGGTAAAAGATAAAGACATGATGGCTCCTGATCCTAGCTAGGGCTGATTCAATATATATATATATATATATTTCAGTCAGGACCACTTTTGTCAAAATATCTTATATCCCAAGCAGAATATTACATTTGGTGGTATGGCTCTGTTCTGGGACCTCCTTGTCCTTCCGCGTGCCTACGTGGAAAACCTTAAGGCAGGGAGAGCACACCTCCCTGCCCTTCCATGTGCATACATGGAAAAGTTTAAGACAAGGAGAGCGGCAGCAGAGACCCCCAAAGAACCACACCAGGCAACCTCCCTTCCATGAGCTACATGGAAGTGCCAGTAAGAGGAGCCAGCAGCGCTATAAACCAATAGGTCTAAGCAGACACTAGTTGAAGTACATGGCTAAGTATACTAGAGACATCTCCAGAAATTTGCTATACATTGATGAATTTAAGCCGGAAATTACAGGGCACTCATTGCTTTGAGCATCAAGATTTGCTTGGCCTCAGGCAGGAGATATCGTTCATAAGCATAATGAACATTTACCCATAGCCTTAGCGTCGAGACAGGAGCTACGGATGCTGCATTTGTTGCTGCTCCTATGCGAATTGAATGAGGAGTTATTTTCATGTAGATTACCTAAGCCAGATCGCATATACTGAGCAGTAGATAGCCTGTAGGATTGCATGGTTGTGTTTACTCTAACACGGTTTGAGAAAATGGGGGGCAAATCAGGCTGGATGGCGCTGCCTCCGGGCACAGCTGGCAAAATTCTGCAATCAAACCGGGACAAAAAATCAGCAATTGTTATCCAAGCATGGAATATGAGATGCTCTAATAATGAATTTACCCAACATAGATTACCAAGTGAGGCGCCTTACAAATCTATTAATGAATGGAACTGAAGAACGCCCTTGTAAATGATGTTGGCAGTTGCCTCATTGTCACAAAAACATGATTGTTTCCTTGACCAGTCTTCTCCCCACAGAAACATGAAACAACAATTGGATACATTCATTAAAAAAGGTAGAAGAGGCAGTAGCTGGCAAGGATGACAGCCATATGTCTGTGAACCACTGATTATTAAAATACCCCCCCAAAACCTACGGAAGGGCGGTTATCATACAGGTCAATCATGCCACTTCTACTGTATGCTTGAATTAATTATATCTCCATTATTTCTGTACACAACACAGAGAAACTAATGGATCCATTGCCCTTCCCTAAATTGCCCCTCATGTCTGCTCTCTGTCTTCTAAGCTCAGCAAAGATGTTCATTAGTGATCTAGTAGATCATAGCAGTCACACTATTAGACCTTGCTGTTGACATAAAGCTCCCAGGGTGAACTGGCACACAGTGTTCGATTCATTTATATGTACTCAATACGCTGCGTCTTTTTAGAATTAATGGCAAATGATGATTCTAGCTGCTCATTGTAAAAGAAGGAGATGCCATACCATTATCACACAGAAGAGATCAGGACTGGGGCTCGGATCTGCAGCCCTCATCCAAGCTCACCATATCATGGAGTTCTCTATAAATCGGAGAGGTCCAGAAGCCTGGATATAAGGGAACTTCCCTGGGGAATAACACACATGCCAATTTAAGATGTCTAAGCAAGGAGAGCAGTTCTCTTTTGGAAATGACTACTGCCTGCTGCTTTCATTACCTCTCTGATGTGATTTTGCATCAGTACACTACTAGAGTGAAGCCTAGAACTCTAGCCTTACAGGGCCTGATGTTTCTCCTTGGATAGCGGAAGACCTAATGTTTTAAAGGTATATTTAAGAGCAAAAATGCATGGTCTGATTTTGAATTGATAGTCAACTAACAGAAAATCGTCTACGAGATGGAGCACGAAAGCAGTTGCAGTTATTTAAAAGAATCCAGCAGAGAGCCTCTGACAAGTGTCAAATATGTGGGGCTGCTGTAACAACCAATTTATTTTCCCTGAATATTCCCTGGTAGCTATACCTTAATGCTTGTTGAGAAGGCGATTTATGAATGGACCAATATGAATCCTTTTGTTATCCTTTCTTCAGTAAAGCCTCGACTATCTCAGCTCTTTCAAAGCAGATTGTAGGTTTTGGCAACCAAGTCAGCCCAGCTAAGAACCCTGAACCAGCCCTATAACAGATAATTCACTAACAGTGTTTAGATGCTTTCTTAGCGCCTTCCCCAGCTCAGGGACGTTTACTGGGGTTGAAGGTTTATCTCTCATGCCCCCTTTTTGAGAGGCAGCACGTCTTCCCTATGGTGATTGGGACTGCACTTCCCAGCATCCTCGGCGGGAATGTGACGCCGTCAAAACAAGCTGCTGTGACGTCATCATCAAGCGCTGCACCTGTGGGACCATGCGCTCTACCTGCAGACAGCGAAGAGGGAAACAGGCCAACTGCGGACGAAGACTGGCCGGCCTGATGTGCCGAACCGAACCCTGGACCCTTGAACCCATGACGGCAAGCGACAACCAGATGTTGGACAGAGCTGACAAGCAAGACAGGTGGAGCCACTGTGATTAAAGGAAGTATAAAATGTTGCACAAGACTAAATCTTCAGGTGATCCAGCTTCTTTCTACTGTGACCTGCCTTGGTCTCACAATGGTGTGAAGAACTGAAACTGGACATTCAGCAAACATTTCTCTGAGGCAGAAACAATGTCATTGGTTACATTAAACTTTGGTAGGCAGAGAATCTGTAAAAAGGATTTTCTCTGGCCCCTCCCACTGACATTGAACTCAACCAATGAGATTGTTTCTGTCTCCAGAGCAGAAATGTTTGAGGAACTAAAAGCACAATCAGCTTGATGTTGAGGAGAAGGGCTGTGCAGCAGAGAGGCTCTTTAGTTTTTTCATTCTACTGCAGTGGAAGAACATTGCTCATCTGCTGTCAGTTTGACTTTAACAACTCCAAAGACATGTTGCTTTACCTCTTTTTACTTTTCTCTCACTTTATAGGTGAGTGTTAGAACAGAGATCAAAGTCTCATTTAACCTGCTGTGTTAACCAGATATTTGGTTTACATTCATAACTAGAGCTTTATCTGTGTAAGTTAACAATCCCAATGGTTTATTAAGTGTATCTAAAATTGATCAACAATGAAAGAAAAATAATTTCTGTTGAGTCTGTTGATGTCAGAATGTCTTGCAGACTAACTGACATGAATAATACTCATTTTGCAGCCCTGGGTTCCATGAACATCATAAAGCCAGACAGTACTGAAGAACATGTTGCAGAGGGAAGAAACATCAACCTGACCTGTAAATATGATGGTGCTATCAACAATATCCAATGGTACCGACAATACCAGAGATCCAGACCAGAGTTCCTGCTCTCCATCACAGAGGGAGGATCGATTCATCCAACTGATTCTGATTTCAAAGCTCACATTAACAAAACCGAGAAACGTGTACATCTGGAGATCATCTCAGCTAAAGTGACAGACTCTGCTGTGTACTACTGTGCTCTGAGGCCCACAGTGACAGGAAACACCAAAACTCTGTACAAAAACCTTACTATTACTACCTTAAGAACACTGCACAATATCCACTAGAGGGAGTCTCAGATTATTTTGAGCATGAGACAGAGTTGTTGAAGAGCTTCAATGGTATGTGCTGATACAGGATTGAGATGTAAAGCTTTAGGTATTAAACCACAGACACCATTTAAACTCAATTACATTTCACCAAGATAACTATGTCAACATGAAGCACAAAGTTGGTATGATTTTCCAAAAACTGGGATCGGTGTCATCTTTTGAGTCTTATTTACAATTCCACGTTGCCATATAAACCTTTGAACTTGAAACAATGTGAATAATTAAGTACTTAATAAGTAATGAATATGGTTGGCATGTGTAATTGAAAAGGAGTATATCGTCTCATTAAATATTTCAGTTCAATTATCTTTATTATCCCAAGTGGGAAACCTGATTTGCAGTCAGGGACACAAACAAGAACCCAAAACACTAAAATGGCTCCTTCACATATGACGCACAGCAAAAACATAATAAATAAATAAATAAATAAATAAAATGCAAACATTTTTCCTGTGCAGGATGTTAAACAAAAACGCACAGACACAAAAACAAATGGTGCCGGTCGCTGCAGGAGCAGTGCCCACCATATTTAGCTCAGTCAGGACCTTCACATGTGCTGTAAAATGTCAGTGTGACCTTATCAGCTATTTGTTACCTGATGGAAATGATGGCATTTAGTGAATAACAGCAGCACAGCAGTGACAAACACACTATTTGTCAGAGTTGTGAGAGGAAGGAGGGAGGGATTAAGGGAGGAGCAAAACTGAGACTCAAGTACAGAAAAGACAGAAACTTTCACAGTGGTGTTTCATCCAAAAAACAGACAGATTGTCTTTATCTTTAAGATGCTGTCAGTGAACTTCAGTCTGTTTGTGACTTTGTTTCTGCTCACAATAAGAGGTAGGTGAGATCATTAACATTAAAAGAGCTTCATTGATAAAAACCTTTAGATCATAAAGTTACAGAGTTATCTCTTCCTTTAGGTGTCAGCTGTGAAGAACTCACTGCAGTCAAGAAACAAGAGTCCAGTTTAGAAGACAGCACTGTTACTCTGTCCTACACATACTACAAACAAGCAACTGATAGTGATTATTTCTTCTGGTATCGACAATATCCAGGAAAACCACCAGAGTTCCTCATCTCTCATTCAGGAACAGGAACACCACTATCTGGTCAACTCTCCAAACTGTCTTTTAAAGTGGGACAAATGCAAATGGATCTGAAGATCTCTGCTGCAGTGTCTGACTCTGCTGTGTACTACTGTGCTCTGCAGCCCACAGTGACAGGAAACACCAAAACTCTGTACAAAAACCTTTGGAGCAAAGACAACAGAATACTCCACAACATCCACTAGAGGGAGTCACACACTGTTAAACTTCAATAGTATGTGATTATACAATCTAGATTAACTGTACTAGTGATAAGAACAATAGACAATAAAGCACATATGAAACAAAATACTTCACTTATTCTGTATTTTATCTTAAGTATCAAGTATCTCCACGAACTGTTTGGCATCACAGACTCATGTTTTCATTCCTTTTGTTCTTATCTTTACGTATACATTTTAATTCACAACACACAGTTTTTATTATGACATCAACATATAGTTCACTTTATGCCCCTAAAAAAACAATTGATCAATGACTCATAAAATAAATGTATTACTATTATCACATACTTTTCAAATCTAATAGGAACCTGAAATATTAATAGGTGAATTGTTTTTATATCATATATAAATTAAGCATCGCACTTATGTACAACTCTGTGGACTTGGAATCACAGTGTCTTAGTGTCTTTTGTTGTGCTTCGAGTTGACATTGTAATGAAACTGACTGAAGGACAGAAAAGATTTCAATGAGGTGTACGATGAAAAGACTTTCAAGCCTCTTATGAGCTGTTCTTGATAGAATGTCATCTATATAACCAAATACATTATTTGGAAAGAAAATGCTACAGTGAATTTTAGGTTGCTTGAAAATAATTTGACTAAAAAAGAATTTGAACTCAACTATTAACAAGTCACACATTTCTGTCCTTTAACTTGTTGACATGACAGACTCAGATTGCTCTGTTCTCGGTTTGTCATTTCTTGTGGTGTACCACAAAGTCCAATTTTGGGTCCTCTCAATTTGTATTTATACTTAGCCTCTAGATTAAATTACATTAAAACAAAACTTTTTTTTCTGATATGTCATTATGTATTCCATTAAAACCCATCATAGCAGCTAATTTATTACATGTGAAGTGCCTGTGTTCCAGACCTTCCAAAAAATAATTTTAATTTCCCCTCAAATGTAAACCAGGTAAATCGTGAAGATTATCCATCCTTTAAATCACCGCATAATCTACCCCTTATGAAGGAATCACCCAAAAAACAAAACAAAAAAACTACTAGTCTTTAAACCAGAGATAGTGTAGCTGAGAGATGTACAAATACCGATCAGACAGAGATACAGAGGAGACAAAGAGATTCCGGGAGGAGCTAAGCTGTTACTAAACTATAGAAGAGAGAGGAACTTCCATATTCAGCAGAGTTCAATACACAAACCAGAAACATTACCTTTATTCAACATGCTGTCACTGCATTATTGTGTTTTTTTTCCACTGTTTCTTTACATTCTGACAGGTATGTTTGATTGTGCAACAAAATAAAGTTTAAATGTTTCCAGAATGTAAATAATGTATTTTGATTGTATTAATGACTCTTTTTTTCCTGTCTTTTTTTTTCTATAGGCATCAGCTGTGATGAACTCACTCCAGTCAAGGATGAAGAGTCCAGTTTAGAAGACAACATTGTTAATCTGTCCTACAGATACTACAAAAAAGCAACTAGTGGTGATGAGTTTTACTGGTATCGTCGGTATGCAGGAAAACCACCAGAGTTCCTCATATCCCATTTGGGAAGTGGAGAAAAGTTAAATAATCCAGTCTCTAGACTGTCAGTTACAGTGAGTGAGGATAAAACCCAAATGGATCTGCAGATCTCCTCTGCTGCAGTGACAGACTCTGCTCTGTACTACTGTGCTGTGAGGCCCACAGTGACAGCAAACCCACAGTCTCTGTACAAAAACACAAGCTGACACACTGACAAGCTGCTGGAAGCCTTTTTTCCACACTGTTGGACTCAACTTTTTAGCTCCACTAGAGGGCGACATTATCAAGTAGGCGGTGCACTACTTCTGCACTGTGTTCAACCATTCTGTCAATAATAACTGCTGCTGTGAAGAGAACAATTGTCACACTGAATGTTGAACATCAGCTAGTTTCTCCTGTTGATTTAAACCTTGTTGTAGAGATGGAACATTGGCTGTGGATTATTCTTGCTGCTCTTTTCTTTGGTAAGATAGAAAGCACAACATGTTTTTATTCTTTTCTAAAGATTGATGGAAACTGGAGTTCAGAGCAGAAATCTCTCAACAGTTGAGCTGTTTCTGTCCACAGAGTAACACTGTACACTTGATATTTTCCACTGTCTTCTCCTCTCAGCCTCATGAACAATGTTAGTCTAATGGCTTCATTTTCTCCACTTTTTCCAGGACTAATAGCTGGAGACACAATCTCTCCTGTAGGAGATAAAGTCAGTGGAAGAGAAGGAGAATCTGTCACACTCAAATGTCGATATCAGACAGATTACAGCTCTATTAGGCTTTACTGGTACAGACATTCTGACCTTCAGGCTCCTCAGTTTATACTCTGGAAAGGAGCAAAAGGATATTCAGCTGAATACATTCCAGATAAACGATATGAATCTAAAACAACAGATTCATCAACTGAACTGACCATCAGAAAACTAACCCTGGCAGACACAGCTCTCTACTACTGTGCTCTAGAAACACAGTGATACAAAGTGTAGAAGAGGCTGTACAAAAACCTGAACACAGATATCTGACTACTCTTCAAAGAGGAGGGAAGTGGTATTCAAACCACAGCTTCATATCAGATGGATTCTGCTAATTCCTGTTTTATCAGAGTCACTGTGGATACAGCTGCTAATGAAACACTGTGGGAGGATTCACATGAGCAGCAAATCCACATCAATGACAAACCAACTGGATGATGCTTCAACACAAGACACCACGGAAGCAGCCCTGTATTAATCTGTGGAGACCATTTAAAGATGTAATGCTGGCTTTAGAAGGATATACTGTGACTCTCTCCAGCAGACAGTCAGGCTATGTCCTTTATATGCACTGTATCAACAGAAGTCCAGTTCTCCACAACAAGACATGTCTAGATTCCACATTAAACACAGTGTCACCCTGAGATGGCACTTCACCTTCACAAAAACAGATTTGTCCACAATACATTGCAGAGTTGTGTTTCTTTGTTGTACGTTTCGCAGATTTACAGTAGTTGTTGGATCCTTAATGTTTGCTCCCTGTCTAGTTATTGATTTATTTTTAACAGTATAAACCCTGATCTCACCCTCATTTCACGTCCCTGAAAATTCATCCTGGAATAGACAGAAGCAAGAATCTTCTTACAATTTACTGCATAAGACTGACAGTGAAACATGTTTTCATGCTCCATTTACAAAACGCTTATGGGATTTTTCTTCACTGGTTTTCTGTTTACACCTGTTTGGGTTCATCATTAAGGCACCTGAATATCCACCTGATCATTTCACCTTTCTATTCAATGCAGTCACTGAGGTGAGTTTTCTGCAGATTCCTCCTTCAGTCTGACCTTCTTGGATGATGATGACTTCAGCATCACTGTCATTTCTAAAGCTTCCATCAGCCTGAATGCAAACAGACCACAGCAAGAGGAGGAGCTACACAACTCATTTTGGAAGTGAAGAGCTGCTGTGTTCTCTCTGTTGTTCATTCAGTACAAGTGGAAATAATGTTGCTTCATTTAATTTGGCTCATGTTAGTCACCGTTCATCCTGGTAAGTATTCACAAAATGTATCAAGGGGATGGTAGACCTTAACAAACATTTAATGTTATTTGAATTCTTTAACTTATTCCGATCGAACATTGTTAAATATTTTTCATCATCTCATTAAAATACTACATGTGCCATGGTGAAAGATATCTTTGTTCTTTTCAGGATCCTCTGAAGATTTAGTAAACCCAATTGAAGATGAAGTGCTGGCTTTGGAAGGAGAAACTGTCATTCTTTCCTGCAAATATTCGGGCTCTGTCAGTGTTGTCTATTGGTATCAACAAAAGTCCAGCTCATCTCCACAACTTTTCATCATGGAATTTTCAGACAAACCTGGATTGTTATTGAAACATTACAAAGATAAAAATAAGTTTCATCTGGAGATCTCCTCTGCTGCAGTGACAGACTCTGCTGTGTACTACTGTGCTCTGAGGCCCACAGTGACAGGAAACACCAAAACTCTGTACAAAAACCTTTGGAGCAAAGACAACAGAATACTCCACAACATCCACTAGAGGGACTCACACACAAATACAAATCATGACATAATAAAGTCTACGGTCTTTTTGTTTAAAACATGCCCAATAAATGTTTCAACAGCTTAGTTAACAACTGATAATGCTGTTATATCATTGAAGTTAAAATTGGTTTCCAACATGATAGTTTGGCCCAGAGGATACATGACAAGACATAATAAACAATGATGACTTTAATTAACACAATTGACTGTCTGAATGAAATAGAGCAAATGTTCATCTGATCTGTAATCAGTTTACCAATTCCATTAGCATGATCCAGCTTCGTTTGAGGAGAATATGATTTATTGTTGTAAATAATATACCAGTCTTTTTATATTATGAAGCATAGTACTGGACTTGAATTCAACAAATGTAGTGTATGTTGACTTTTTATTTTCCACCTACAGCTGCTGTTGCATCGCTAGCTTTCCATCAAGAGGGAATGTTTCTAAATAGCATTTCCTGAGGTTTCACTAATATATTTTTTGATAAAGGAAAACAAAAGAAAGTAATAACTAAGTGGGTCTTTAAACCCACTATGATTTGTCACATGGAGTTGCTGGAATGGATGATGGATCTCAGCATCCAGCAGTGAACATTTCATTTAATTTCTGCAGAGCCACTCAATATCACTCCCTGCTCTAACTTCACTGCTGATTTGTAGAAATGAAAAAAAAAAAATAATAATCTTGTTCACAAGAATGAAATCCATTTATTATTTATTCATTATAGCTAACTTTCACTGTTCTGATATGTTTCTTGTTCTTTTTGTTCTGTTTGAGGCAACCATATAAAAACACTTCATCTATCCAACAGGAATGAAACCTACATTAACAGTATATGATGGTGATTGTCATTTCCAGCGTTGAAGGTAGAGAAAGTCTGAGAGAAGTGAAAATACAGAGCTACGAGGCAGAGAAATTCAGCGAGGAGCTTAGCTGTAACTGAACTATAGAAGAGAGAGGAAATTACATATTCAGCAGAGTTCAATACACAAACCAGAAACATTACAT